GTTCTTGGGGAAAGACCTTTCTTTGCCAGATCCCTATCACTGGTGGAGAACTATCGGGCTGACCTAAAAACTTCAGAGTTTATCTCCATTTGTCTGGTCTATAGAGGAAAACAAAAACATGGGATTAGAGCACTGAAGTAAATGAGAGAGAAAAGAGTGTCTGACAAGGAACAAACAATACCAAAGGATGGGAAGATAACTTAAAGGGGAAAACCCCCCCATTCTTCCTTCCATGTTCATAGTGGTGAACATCTGCATGCAGAAAGTTATGAGTGAGACAGAACTGGAGTTATGGGTAAGACTTTGTGTTGGGATAGAAAGCATAAGACTTCATATGGAGAAATTCTGTCTCAAGTGGCAGAGAAATGAGTGACAACAGTGGTGAGCAGCACTTGTTGGAGAGGGATGGGAAGAGGGCAGAGGACTCTCCTAGGAATAATTGGGAACTGGAAAGATGGGGGTGAGCTACTGTGAGCAGTGTTCCTTTTCTGGTGGTCCCTTGGGTCCCCACTCTCCCAGCCGGGTCTCACCTTCAGGTCCTGATACCCCCACATCTGAGGGGCCTTTGCAAAGGGGCTGGGAGTGGAGGACAAGAAGTTGGGGAGAAACACAACAATGTGGAAAACAGATGAGAGAAAAAAGGACTGAGTGGAGATCAAAGGATTAAATATGTAAAAATAAAGAATCATGGAGCAGAGCCTGAGGAAGGCTGTAGGAGAGCACTTCCCCTGGTGACCTCTCACATGGACAGCCAGGGGTGGGTAGGAGGCAGCTGAGGGCTTTCTGCACCTCTGTAACAGCTGTCCCAGCTGGGGTCTGTGTTAATGCTGTAAGAACTGCTTTCTGGAGGTACAGCTCACCCTGCAGTAACTAGTGATGGGAGGAAGGTGACTGAGAAGAAACCAGAATGAAGTGAAGTGAATCCCACTCCTTCCAACCAGATGCTAGCCTAGACTACTACCATAAGGACACTTGAGTGAGTCGTCACCATGGTCCAGCATCTGGGTTTGGTGCATAGATAAATTACCTGCTGACTCTGCACCCTTCAAAAAGCAAATGGGCTTTTTTTTTTCTTTTTTGAGCACAACTGAGTGCTCAACTGTGCTTTGACTCGCTACTTTCAGGTGGCTTATGCCCAATCCTGTCAACCAGATGCTGAATAGGACAATTTTCCCTGAGGGGATTGGAAAGCCTGTTTCAAGAAGCTTTTATGTTTCCAGAAGGATTGAATTTTCAGCAAAGCATTTCCATAAGTCTCCTGTCCTCTAGCTAGAGCACAGTGGGGTCCTTGAATCTGTCTGATGTTTCATGCATGGAGTTTGTACCTTGATTTGTCTTATCTTCTCTGGCTATCCCCGTGCAGACAACCAGAAAGAATTCAGCTTGGCTTGAGTTTAAGTACGTTTTGGAAGGAGTTACTGGAAGATTTGGAAAGAAAATGATGCCGTTGCTTGGTTACTTGCTGAGCTGGCCTTGCTGTCACTTGTAGCCATCTCACTAGAAGACATTTGTTAAGTGAAGCCTCAAGAGGCTTCTTGTGTGGTCACTACATGAAAACACACTCTTCCAAATAGCCACTGGCATCAACATTCTGATCGCTCTGAACTTGCTCGAGACTTGAAAAGTTGATGGAGCCCCACTGACTTAGCTAACAGAAACAGCCACTCCAGCTTTGAAGAGTGGAGGGGGCTTGTCACTGCAGTTTGGTTTTATTCCATCAAAAAGGGCTGATGATAGGGAAGGTGAGGTGGAGGTGCAGAGCTGTGGGAATGTGGCTGTGATGTGAGGTACGTGGTTATTATTCCTTGAGGATTTCCCTTCTGCCTCAGTTTCCTCCTTTGAGAAATGTTCTTCCGTGGCTAGTGGGTTCCAGTTAAATTGAATACCCTGTTCTTTCCTGTGCCAAAGACCATCTGCAGGGCAGCCCCTCTGCCAGGCTGGGACCTTGCTTACAGTTGCACAAGAGGATGCAGATGTGGTAGGGGAGTTCACCCTGCCCAGGACTCATGGAAATGAATCGGTGCTCCACACACAAAGGTCCCCAACCACCATGGACAATGCAGGAGGACAAGCAGGGCAGTGCTGGGGACCAAGAGAGGGAGCAGAGGGATGGAGACTATGTCAGAGGGACTAGCCTAAGTATCAGCCAGGCAGAAATGATTCCTTCCTGATCCCGAAGGAATCAGCATCCAAAAAATGTTCCCAATAAGAAAATAGGCTTAGTGAGTTGACTGCCCCCTTCTTTCCAAAAACCTGACCTATTGGTGAAGGGAGAAAGAGACCATAGTGGGACAAGGTGCAAGTTGTTATGGGAGTCAGGATCCATCCTGGGCATACAGCCACTGGCTTCATGTTGTCTGGGACTAGTTCTTAGGGAAAAATTAGAGGCAAATGGGGCCCTTTATCTTCATCTGAGGTTCTGGCACACTTCTGATTTAATACTTGGTGAATAGGGTGACAGGACAGTCTCAGAACTGTTTTTCAACCCGTGATGGGGGTACCCAGAGGATTTGTAAGTGTAAAAGCAAAGAGAGATGGAGCAAGTGAGCAGGTCTGGAGCCAGGATCACCACATTGGTTAAGGGCTCCCAAGGGCAGGAGCACATTGCTGTACCCACAGCAGTGGGGAGTGCCCTCAAGAGGAACAAGTCTATTTACTGGTGGAGCTGAATGGACATAAAATCTCCCTCAGTTATATGGGTGTTTTTTTCTGTATAAACTTGCTAATTGAGTTGTAAAATAAAACTGCAGTCCTTCCTCTCCAATTTCTGCTGCTGCAGCAGCGTGCTAATTTGGTTTTGGAAGGGGGCTGGTAGAAGGTGGCTCTTTGCCAGTGTGAAATTATGCGCAAAGGTTTGCAGTGGGAGAGGAGGGAGCCCGTCCTCGGCGCAGGGAAGGACTGGGGGCAGGAGCTGCTGAGCAGGGCTAGAGCGGCTTGGGAAGGTCCTGCAGCTGGGCTGGGCTGGGCTGGGCTGATGGAAATTCAAGAAAGCCCAGAAGGGTTTAAGTGAAGTTGCAATGGATTACAGATGGGAAAGTTAGCGCCTGTGCACCTCAGTAGATGCTGTGTGGTTGAGAGGATGAGCTGTGGGATTTCACATCTACCCTCTGGCATGGCTGGGCAGGATTTGCCTCTTGGGTCTGTGTACCCATGTGTGTGTGGTGTGTGTGTGAGTGTGCCTTTGGTGTGGGCATGTGTGCCTGGTGTGTGCAGACATGTGTGTCCATGTCGCTCGGGGTGGTGTGGGTATGCGTGTGGCTGTGTTGGGTCTCCATACAGATGGTGAGGACAGGGATCTGGCTCTCATCACCCAGCAGCACAAAGCTCTGTCACAGGGAAAACTGTGCACAGGAACAAGGATGATGTGGTGCAAACTGATGCAGAGGAACCCACTGGTCAGCTCTGCTGACTTGCACCAGGCGGGGATTTGGCCCTGCTGCCCACACTGGGGGCTGAGAAGAGGACTGGTCTGTAGGGAAAAAAAACCCCTGTGATAAAAAAAAAAAACAGAAGGCACAGCCTGGCTGTCTGTTGCATCAGTGTAACTTTAATTTTTGAAAAACACACAGAAAAAATGCAGTGACAGTTCCAGTCCCAGGGTGAAGCCTGGGGTTCCACATGTTTGGCAGGTACATGCACCTCAACATGCAGGAGGATGTAACGTCTCAGGGGACCCAGGGCATGGACCACATTCACCATTTTTGTGTCTTTCAGTGTTTCACATATAACTGACTGTGTGAAAACAATTCCAGGCAGCAGGCTCCAGAAACCATTGTGAGAAGCCCAGAGGTTTATGGATAGATTTGTCTGCCCATTTTCTAGAATTCAACAGTCCTTCCTGTCCCATCATCCTTCCATCCTTCTGCTGATCCCTTTGATCCCTTCTCTGGGCAGCACTGGGAAGGGATCGCTGCCATACCTTTCAGTGGGAACATCAGGAGCACAGTTTGTGACCCTGGAGCTGCTGGTTGAGGTGGGATTGAGTGGGGCAGGGCTAGACAGTGTTTTTCAGCCTTCCCATCTTTGGGAAGAACTGCCCTCAACATTCAGCCCTGCTGCTGCCTGCTCTCATTCTGTGAGGGCACCCGAGTGGGATCTCAGCACCCTGGCCAGGGGGGAGTGAGGCCTCAGGGGCTGGAAGGTCTTGTCAGATGCTTTTAAAAGTGACCTTTAGTGTCTGAAGAGCATCAGGCTGGATTTAATAAGGGACTGACAAAAGAATAACAATTACTAAAGCCTTCCTCTGCCTTCCCTTCCTCTGCCTCCTGCCCCAGCTGGGTTAGGGTTCCTGGTGGTCACTAACTGCTGGGTGGGTGGTGCCAGTGGCAGCGTGCAAGGCCCTGTGGTCTGTGCAGAGTGTGCAAATGCTGTGCAAGCCACACAAACTCTATGTAAAGGCTGTGCAAGCCCTGTGCAAAGGCTGTGCAAAGGCTGGGCAAAGTGTGCAAATGGCTTTGGGCCTGGCCATCCAGCACTGCGAGAGACAGGGATTTCTCGGGATGCGGATTTCTTGGGATGGTGTCATGGGAGCTGTGTCTGTGTCTCTGCACAGTGTGTGCATTCATACCGAGCAAATCCGCTGGTTGGCATTAGAAACTCACTCGTGATACTGTGACAAAGCACCTGTAAAATCACAGCAGAAAGAAATCCGAGAGGTTGCAGTGACAAATGCTCGTGAGAAGCAATTGTTTGGGGGGGGAAAGGGAAAAAAAAAAAAAGCCATGTTTGTTTTGGCAAAACACCTACATTCCTTCAAATAAATCATCGCAGCCCTTGTTTTTGTATTTGTGGAGAAATCGCAACAGACATAACCAGGGACTTAAGAGACTTGAAATAACATCCTAGTAAATACCCCACTTTGTTATTTTAATCGAGACCCAAGGAAACATCTGAATTTTACCAAGGAAACCCTCCGTGCGAGGGAAAACATCAGCCCGTAGCCCGGCCGGGGCTTTGTTTTGCTCCGGTGTCGGGCTCCCGAGGCGGAATTGCCGGGGCCGATGGAGGTGCGGGGCAGCCCGGGACAGTCGCTCCGGCTCCCTCGACGCTCCCGGCCCGGCCCCGCAGCCAGCATCACCCCCGCAGGCCAGTCTGGGGGTGAGAAGTCAGCCCAAAATGTGGGGTGACGGTTCCTCAGTCCGAAACAGAGCCGGGTCTGCCCCACGTCCAGTGTGGGACCGGGACCCCCGCCCCAGTACGGGGTGGCGGGTGACCCCCTCCAATACAGGGTCGCCTCCCATCCGCATCCCCCGTAATTAGGCTGGAGTGACGCCGCGGCACGGGGCTGTGGGACGCAGCTCTTCCCCGATCAAATGAGGGGTACGGGTGCCCCCACGGGGGGCGCCAGGTGCCTGCCACTATGACGGGGGCCGCAGCTGGGGGGTTCTCATCCACTCTCTGGGAAGGCGGGGAGGGGGGGAGGGAGTGTCCGGGGGTGGGGTCTCACCTGCAGGCGGAGGCGGAGCGTGGACGGGGTTTATCGTCACCTGCCGGGGAGCAGAGCGTGTCCCGAAGGACGGTCCGGGGTTCCCACCTGCAGGTAGAGGCGGGGCGGGGTCGGAGGGATCCGGGGGTGTCCCACCTCCAGGGAAGGCGGGGCGGCATCCAGGAGGGTGTCCGGTGGGAGATCCCGTCTGCCGGGGAGGAGGGGCGTGGGATGCAGGGAGGTGTCCGAGGGGGTCCACCTGCCTGGGGAAGGCGGGGCGGGTCCCGGGGCGCGGGCGGTTGCTCGGGCGGGGAGGGGCGAGCGGCCGGCAGGGGGAGCCCCGGCGGCGGCGGGCGAAACGAGGAGCGGCGGCGGCGGCGGCGAGGCGGCGGCGAAGACGATGTTCAAAAAGCGGGCGGGAGCGGCGGCGGGCAGCAGCTCCGCGCCGAGCCCCGGGCCGCCGCCATGGCGCCTCCGCGCCGCCTGCCGCCGCCCTATGCCTCTGCCTGCTGGGCGCTGCCCGCCTCCGCCGCGGGCTGGAGGCCGCCGCCGTGCGCGGCCCGTTCGGCGGCCGCTCCCCAGCGCACCCTCGGCAAGCCGCGCCTTTCCTCCGCCTCCTCCTCTCCGCCGCCGACGCCGCCTCCCCCTTCTCTGCCCCCGCCGCGGAGGGAACGGGGCTCTCCGCAAACGGCAACGGTGGTGCCGCACCACTACAGTGGTGCCCTGTACCAGTCGCTGGCCGCCGCCGCGGCCCGGCGGCCGCGCCGACCAACCGTCACGGGCCTTCGCGGCAGCCGGGCGCGCAGCGGTGATGCGGGGAGCGCGTCCCCCCGGACCCCACCGTCGGGGATGCTTGGGCTTGGGAACGGGCTTTAGGATGAGGATGGGGTTTGGGAACGGAGACGGGGCTGTGCGTGGATGCGAGGATCGGGCTCCTGCGTGGGAGCAGGGATGGAGTTGCGCATCACTTTGAGCGTGAGTTTGGGGACGTGGTGGCAACGCGGAGAGGGACCTCGCGCGTTGGTCCAAACGCGAGGCTGTGCCTGGGATGGGGTTGTGCGTTGGTTGGGGAACGAGGCTGTGCGTTGGTTTGAGCACGGGGTGGTTGCAGGGGCTGGGGGTAGCTCACGGGATAGAGCTTCGCGGGATAGGGGCTGCGCATCCCGGTTTTTTAACGGAAATGGAACCGTGCGCGAGACCGAGCGTGGGAATGGGGACGAGGACAGTGCTGGGAGTGGGGCTGTGCGTGAGCATAGGGCTGAGGCGACGATAGTGACAGCAAAGGGTTTGTGTCTGGAGCTGGAAAAAGGGATTGCCGATGGAGATGAGCGTGAGGTCGGGGGTGGCGATGGGGTTGCGCGGTCAAAGATGACGCTCGGGGCTGGGGCTGGGGACAGGGTGCGTGTGCAGCCACCCGGGCCGGGGGCAGGGCGGGAGCTGCCGGCGGCGTCGGAACCTCTCGCCACCTGATATGCGGGACGGCGGCTGCCGCGCAGCAGTTTTGAGCAAGCTTCTCTGCGCGCGCATCCCCGGACAGGGAGCGAGAAGAGCCCGACAGAGCCATTTGCAGCCGAAAAAACCTCCGCAGGGCCTCGCGACGGGACCGAGCGAGGCTGAGGGAGTGGAGCGCAGCCCGGTGCTCCGGGTGAGCGCATCCAGGGACGGCTTCCCGCCGGACCCGCCGGCTGAGCTCGGCATCGCGCTCCCCTTCTCCCTCTTCCTCCTCTTTTGCCCTCTTCATATCCGCGGATCTAACGATGATAACACATAAACGCATTTAACGATACATTTTTAACGCGTACATCGCGCACTGCCGCCGAAGTTCGCTCGGCTGGGGAAAAAAAAAATAAATTTCCGATCGAATAAAATTAAAAGACAAACTGAAAAGCAGCCCCCAGCCTCCCTGCGGTGCCTATCGCCGGCTGCCCCGGGGGGGGAGAGCGGCGGCTGGTGGTGTGGAGCTCCCCAAGCCCCATCCTCCACCACCCAGAACGGGCCGTATCCTGCCGGCAGCCTTTGGGGGAAAGGGGTGCTAAAAGCTGATGGGGCAAGGTCAGGGGAGCGAGGTGGGACGCGGGGAAGATGATCCGGTGGGAGGGTGGGCAGTGCCCGGCTTGGGAGAGCCGGGGGAAAACTGCGCATAGGTCCTGGGAAGTTTCAGAGCAAAACGAAACCAGATGAACTCTTCAAAGGGATCTCCTTATCTGCTCTTATCTGCTCCTCATAGGAACGCTAGATCTGCTTTTAAAATAATAATTATAGTAATGACTATAATGAATAATAATAATAAGGATAATAATAACAATAATAGTAGCAGCAGCAGCAGATGACAGGGAGAAGATTGTTTCCCCCCTGGCAGGGGGTGCAGACTGCACCCAGCGACGCTGCTGGCGCGGGGCGGGGGCTGCGGTGTGGGGATGTCGGGCAGGGCTCTGCCGGCAGCGGCTCAAGAGGCTCGGGCACAGCAGCGATGTTTGCAGCGTGCTCAGGTCAGGTTTCTCGTTAACGAGGGAGAAAATAAAAAACAACCCTCGCAGAAGTCATTCATGTCTTCTCCCCAATGTCACCTCCTTTGGTGTTTTTTTTTTTTTTTTTTTTAATTCACATTGAGTATATTTAATCAGTGCTAGAAACTGCACAAGTCTGTGTTTGGGCTTTGGATCCACCAAAAATAGTGACAAAGTGAAGCTGGGCTCGCTTTCAGCCTCTAGTGGTGCCTCTATCAGATGTGTGTCTGCGAGGGGAAAATGGAATTTTTCACAGCTTTTTACTTGGAATGGATGGGGCTATGTGTGTGTGTGTGACACTTAGGGCAGAAGAAATTGGTGACCACCTCCTGACTGGGGATGGGACTGTGGCACAGGTTCAGATGGGGCTTCCATGCCAAAACAGAATAGTGATGCAACTGGGGTCAGTGGAACACCTATGAGGAGGCAGAGAAGCCTCCTTGGGACATGGGGAAGAGTGCTGATGAGAAGCCACTTGATTCAGTTGATGCCTCTCTCCCTCTGTACTTTCTCCTTGTTAGTTTTTGGTGCCTCCAGCCAGAGTGACGCTCCTGGATGCAGGACACACAGGCTGTGTCCTGCTGGGATGCTCGGCGAGCCTTGCTGCATGGCAGGATCTTTCCTGTTAGTTCTGTGTCTCTTGCACCTCCATAATGAGAGCTTGGCTTCAGCTTGCTGGGATTTTAATTTTTTTTCCTTTTTTTTTCCCCTTCTGTGTTATCTCTTCCAGATGCCTCCCTATCCGCCTCCGAGCAGCGATACCTCTTCGACATCTCCAGCCTGCCTGAGGCAGAGGAGGTGACGGGCGCAGAGCTGCGGATCCTGCGTGCCCTCCCTGAAAACCGGAGCTTGGCCCTGTCCCCCGAGGGCACCTTCCACCACCTCCTCCTTTCCACCTGCCCAAGCCAGGATGGTCAGGAGCCCCGGCTGCTGGACTCCAGGGCTGCAGACATTTTGGACGCAGGCTCCTCCAGATGGGAGGTTTTTGATGTCTGGGGAGCCTTGCGAGATCGGAGGGAGAGATCTCTCTCGGGCAAGCTGCTGTGCTTCCTGCTGAGGATCGTCTCGGATCAGTCGGGGCAGCTCCTGCCCCCCCGACAACTGGGGTTCAACAAGCCCCAGCCCCAGCCCCACGAGCGAGCCCTGCTCGTGGCCTTCTCCCGCACCCAGAGGAAGGAGAATCTCTTCAAGGAGATCCGGGATAAGATCAAGGCCCTGGGCAGCCCCCCATTCCTGGAGCCCCCTGATCCTGGCCAGGAGGTGTATCCCAAGCGGAGGAAGAGAAGGACCACGATTGCTGCCCGGTCTGGGGGCAGAGGCCATGGGAAGAAGGCGAAGACCCGCTGCAGCAGGAAGCCTCTGCACGTGAACTTCAAGGAGCTGGGCTGGGATGACTGGATAATCGCCCCCCTGGATTACGAGGCATATCACTGTGAGGGGGTCTGCGACTTCCCCCTGCGCTCCCACCTGGAGCCCACCAACCATGCCATTATTCAGACCCTGATGAACTCCATGGACCCGGAGTCCACCCCCCCGAGCTGCTGTGTGCCCTCCAAGCTCAGCCCCATCAGCATCCTCTACATAGACTCTGGGAACAATGTGGTTTACAAACAGTACGAGGACATGGTTGTGGAGACGTGTGGCTGCAGGTAGCAATTTCTGCAGCTCTCCTCCTCCTCACCCCTCCCTGCCCTGCCCAGCAGCCCTGCCCCATTTTATATATATAAATAGATATATATATATAAAATATATATATATATACACATACACATTTTGGTGTGTGCCTTTCCAAAAGCCAAGCTCAGAGCAGGTGTCCCTTGCCTTCCCTGGGCCACCCTGGCCATGAGCCCCCCTGAGGCTGTGAGGCTGATGCCATCTCTGTGCCTTGCCTGCTTCCCGCAGGAAGGGGGGGGTACACAGACTGGCAGAGCCCCCAGGAAATGCCTGTTCTGCATCTGAGCTCTGCCTGCTAGGCTTGGTTTTCCCAGGTGGAGCTCACACTTTCTTTCCCAAAGGTTTTGGAAAATATCTGGCCAAAATTGTCTTGGTGGGAATGATGACCTGGGGTTGGGGGGCAGACAGAGTGGTGGCTGTGGGAGAGGAATCTTGTCAGCATCACCTTCTGACTGGGGCAGTGGGATGGAGGTGAGACGGGAATGCTCATTTATTTGAGTTAAAGGAGTTTTACTGTCTGCCTTCAAATCACCACCCCAGGTTTTCTGGTGGAAAATCGAGGGATCCCTGGGGGAAGGCAGGGGGTGGAGAACCTGTGGCTGCTGGGGGTTGAAATCATTTGGTCCAGGCCTGCTTGTAGTGGGGAGAGATTTGTGAGTCTGCTGGTGGGGACAGGAAAGAAGGTCCTTGTAACTGGAGGCTAAAGCAATAGTCAGGTCTGAAGTAGAGCTCGAGAGCTTGTGCTGTCAGAAAGATGGGAATGGTCCTGGGAGGTGTTAGCTGGGGATACCCTGGCTCCATGTAGTCCTAAGTGCTGGCCCTGTTGTTGATGTCCTGCAGGGGGTATTGGCTGGTGGGTCCCCTCCCTTTCCTGCACAAAACCCCATTTCCAAGGCATACTGGGAACCCGGCATCAGGCCCACAAGTCACACAGATGTCCTCAGCGTGTCTGGAGAGAAACAAAGGTCCTGAGTTCCCCAGGGAAGAGCCATTTTGCTCGGGTTCTTCTTTTTCCAAATAATCTCTATAAAAGCACTAAGCTCCACCCTATCTTCCTTTGGCATCGATTTCCCAGTGAGCTCCATCCCTCCCTGGAGCGCCGGCCTCTCCCCGCTCCATTAAGGGAGCCCGGATCCGCCAGGAACAGACCTTTCCCATGCTGTGGGCTGAATGTCACCCTTGGGGACTGCTACATAAAATGGGGTGCTTTGACCTGTGCTGAAAGGGCTGCAGGATTTTAGTAACTCAGGAGCTGAGTATAAATTATGCCTTTAAATCAGAGAAACCTCGTATCCATGACAGGGTGTGTTTTGGATGCTGGGAAGTGTTTCTGCTGCACCTCAGTGGCTTTTAGTACCACACTCCAGCTTCATGACTGAGTTGGCATAGTCCACAGATGTATTTGCACAGACTTTGTGTTTGATGGTTTGTTTTTTTACTGGTGGTCAGAGTGTTGGTGTGTAAACATCAGTGCTTATTAGTAACAGTAGTTTGCTTTTGGAGGAGATAAATCCCTACTGGAAAATGTGGCATTTTCCCTATATAAAATGAGTTGTTCTCCATGGTAAGGGTGTTCTGGGAAGGCTGAGCCTGGCTGGGGCAGAGAGGGGGTCACCTCAAAGAACTCTACTGAGATCCAAATGATTTCAAGGATCAGAAAAGCCTTGGTGAGGTCCAACAGCCACTTCCCCACAAGAAAATAGTGCATCAGCAGGGACTAAATTGTGCACACTGATAATGGTGATAGATCCACTGGACTAACACACCCCAGCTTCCCTCTATCCTCATCCATAGAGGCTGGCTGTGCATCCTCAGGCTGTGGCTGGTAGCAACTCAGGAGAGCAAATGTGGTACCCATAAATCTTGTGTAACCCCCTTGACTCCCGTGGAGCTCCTCTGACTTTACATCCATGTAACCAAGAGGAAAACCCATCTCCCTACCTCAGCATAAATGTAAATATATATTAATGATGTAACTGTCCCCAGGGGGATGCTCAGAGATGGAGGTTGGTAGGGGAGAGAAAGAATCAGGTCCATGCAGGTGGGTTTTCTCCTTGCCGGTGTCTGGGGAGGCTGAGGTGCAACTAGTGGGTGAGGAGGGGTCGTAAGGAGGACTGGTGTCTTTCCTCTGCCCTTTGGCTTTAGCACAGATGGTTTGGGAAGGAGAGTGGCACAGCAGTGCCTGAGTTGCTTGCTCTGGAAACACTGCAGCATTTATAAAGTAACCAAGCTTTTGAAGGACCTAATTTTTCAATTGTCATGGGTTGTTTGATAGCTTTTCTCACTGCTGAGACAATATTTTTTAATGTTTTTGTTTCTTTTACCCCCTCCCCTTCCTCCAAATATTTGTGGTGGAGGTTTGTGGGCAGTTCAAATCCAGGCAAGATATATATAGCTCCTGGCAGCCCCTGCTGGCTGGTGGCTCTTGTGAGCCTCAGCCAAAAGGTTGGCCTGAGACCTGCTCCTGTGGGACCGATTCCAAGGGGGTGTTAATACCAGTGACCCTCAGTTCTTGTGGCTTTTGTTCAGCCACAGCTGCAGGGAACAGACAGATGTCACACACCTCAGGCCTGGAGGTGGCTGACAGGGAGCAGGGCGATGGGTTGGATCTTGCAGTGCTTCACCTCGACCCCAGTGCTGTGCGCTGTGCTCTGCTGAGGCTCTGTCCTGAACCCCACCGTGGCTTTGCTGGTCCTGGGGGGAAAACCAGTGGCTCAGTTGCTGCAGTTTTGTAGCGTGGATCGCTACAGTAAATGAAAGGATTTGGTGAGAGCGCAGAGGCTGCTGCTGGTGGTGATGCCATCCATGGTTTTGCCCATGTGGGAATCAGTCCTGGCTCTCCTGGCTGCAGGTACCTCTTCCAGAACGGGCATGTTTGGTGGGACAGCAAACTTCAGCCCCCTGAGGTGAGCCCAGCAGCAGTGGGGCCCTTTGTGCTCGCACCCCTGGTGACACTGCTGTGCCAACTGCTCTTTTAAAGGAGCACCTGTTCCTTTCCTGGGCAGACAACCTCTGGAGGACAACAGGAGGGAAAAGGATGGAGTCAGACCCTCTTTCTGTTTGCCTCACAAGATAGAAGGCAGCCAGGGGCTGCTCCAAGGTGATGTGTATGAGTTGTTGCAGCCCTGCCATGTTGGGGAGCAACACAGGGGCATGTCAACAAAGGGCACAAAGCAGTAAATCCTGCCTGTGGAGGCAGGTAAGTGGGGCACTGGCTGCAGGATGGTGGCAACCCAGCCCAACCCTCATCTCTGAAGCTGGTCCTCGGCTGAGCATCACCCTCTAAGGCCATAGAAACGGTCCAGGAAAAATGTATTTCTGATCAGTTGCCTCTTGCCTGAGCTGATTTTTGACCACATGTAAACTTTATGAGACTAGAGGTTGAACATGGACAAATATGAATTCAGTAGGCTCAGAGTGATTTTAATGGATAATTATAGGTTCTTATTCTGCAGTATTTATACAACCTTTCCAGTTAAAAAAAACCCAGTTTCCATGCAGTGTATATTCTCCTGGAGGATTTGTTTGACCTTGAGCACCATTTTTATCTGCAGGATATAATTACAGTGAAACTAGAAATATTAAACATTTGAAAAAGACTATGTATCTATGCTTAACTGGCTCCTTCCCCTCAGACACGCGAATGTAATCGTGCAGGAGCAGGGAAACATGGACCAATCCCATTTAACTTGGAAGTGCTGGGGCTGTGATTCAGGGAGCACACCTGGTTGGGACAGGACTGGTGTGTGTGCCTTGAGCTCTGTAAAACCAAAACCTGTGCTTAAGCCATTGCCTGCGCTATGTCCTGAAGCTCCCTGTCCAGCAGAGCTCCACAGCAGGAATAGTCAAAAGCAAAATGGCTTTATGCCTAGTTTAACTGCCTAGTGACCAGGGGTGCTTCTGGCCTAGAAATAATTCCCCAAAATCACAGATTTCATCTTTTTTTCTTCTAAGGAATAATTAATTTTTAATTCTCTTAAAACAGGGCTTTTGTCTAAGCACACACCCCACTTTTTTTCTTAACGTATTTCAAATCCAATGATAGAAGGGAAATTACTATCCTCTGGAAGAGAGAAGGGTGTTCATATGGAAAAGGGCTTGATTCAGGCTTGTAGCATCTTCTCCCTGGCATATTTGTGTTGAATCTGGTCAGCACTGGTAGACAGAGCCACGTTTTCTTTGCCTGTTGGCCGATGCTTGGCATACTCATAAGGAAAAGACTGCAAAGGTATTAAAAGTGAAGCCCAAGCCTTGAGCCCTCTGCTCAAGTTCGAGTGCCAGTGACTCCTGGGTGTTTTTGCACCGTGTGGGTTTTAACTCAGGTTGTGGTTACACAGCTGTCACTGGGCGATGCTGCACTGATTTATCGGTCACACTCCTGTTGCAAAACAAGCAGCTCCTTTTACAGTTTTAAGCCTTATGCCACAAACCCAAAAGTGGTATTTAGGGACAGTCACCTGTGCTGGCCCCCACGTAACAGCAGGCACATGCTCTGCTGTTGGCAGCACTGCCTCTCCAGGGAGAGACAGAGAGGCTGGGGCATCACTTAGGACCCCTGGGGGATGTGGGTCCTAGGGGGCTGCAGCAGGGCAAATGGAGCAGAGCACCTTGGAGTGCTGATGGGATGCCACAGCTTTGCTCTCCAGACTTAACAGTTTTGCCATGAGCTTCGTTTTTTTGTGCTTGTCTTGATAGCAGCATTTGCAGTTGCATCAAAACCCCCATGACCTATGTTAATGTGACAGATACGTCACAAATACCAATCCAGCTCATACTCTTATTGGAACAAACCTGGTGGGAATTGTCAAGGTTTCCTGCCAAGCATGTAGCGAGCTCTGAAATCCAAGTGCCTTCTCTTTTGTCTGTGCTGGAACAGCATGTCCATGTGCCAGGGAGAAAAAACCTAAATGGGGCAACGGCAATGAGAGTCTGAGTATATCAGAGGTTGTCACCTGAAATGGGGCAGGTACCACTGGGTTTGAAAGATGGTCAGACTGAAAGGCTGTCACATGAACCTTGGCTGGATGGTCCC